CGTTACAACCCAGAAGTCAGCCATTTTAGTTGAAAGAATAGTTTCCAAAGACGGCCGGTGGACCGCAGATGGAGTAATGGTGGCCTAACGAAACGTCAAGGCATATGGTAATTAAGTGCATATTACATAAATTTACAAATATCTTGGGTGGTGAACGTTTACAGTTGCACTCACAGTATTACGTTACATAATAGACTAATAAAACGTCAAAATTTGTAAATTGCTAGTGTTTTGTCTATTTATCCAGAATGTTGGTACTCTCTTTCTGGAATTCCAATGTGAACTTCGCGATACTTAGGGACTCAGACATTACCATAACTTGGAATAGGTATTATTTAATCTAAAAATAATATACCTATATTCGTATCTAAGAATCAATGATGACGACGACACATGGCCGAACCAGAATCCGGTACAGTCCGTGGTGGTACACAAACCGGAAATTTGGCATCAGTGTCGTGACGCTAGGCAAACTAACAGAGGTGCTGGGTCACTTCCTTATCCCTTTGAAGCCGAAGATCGTCTGAATATTATTTATGAATTCAGTCCGTACCGCGAAGAAAACACTACACCTCACCATTACGAAAATCAGCTGGTTAACCCTTTGAAGCCGAAGCTCGTCTTCATAATATTTACGAATCCAGACCGTACCGCGAAGAAAACACTTCACTTAACCATTAGAAGTCGAATCAGGCGGTACCACATAAGATTTAACAAAAGAACATCCCGGTCAAAGCCTTAAAAACTAAATGAACAAGTAATTGAATGATTTTTATATTAAATGGGAGTATAAGTGGCGTAACTGCAGACTTAGTGGCTAAATTCATTTTCTCAGTGTAAACCGAATTGTACCTAAGTAAGATGAATCGCTTTCTCGAGGCACCATCCGATTCTCGATGGGTAAAAATTACAAACGTTTCTGCTAAATACACATACGAAGTCTGATGTTACACTTTAAGGTCGATACATTTAATTCATCTGCGGATTAATTTAGTTAAACGTAGACTATTATCAACACTTGGCGGTTAAATGATATCTGAAGCCTCATCGGCCTTGAAGCTATAGCTTAACAAAGAATTCAGAATGGAGAGTATTTCCTACATAAATATGTCTGTCTTCTGGGTTATTGTGCCTTGTAGTCTGGTAGGTTTCCACCAACGTTTCGAAGGTCCATGCTGCCTCCTTCATCAGGACGATTATTTCATGGACCTCTTAAACGTTGGTGGAAATCTACCAGACTACAAGGCACAATAACCCAGAAGACAGACATCTTCAGACTCACCGCCGTGAAGACCTCAAAACCTACATTTCCTAAATGTGTCTGCACTCTACAAAGTGAGCCGAGCCTAAACTCCCACTGAGACATTGGATATAGATGGAAGATAAGTAATGAACTCCTAAATCTGGAGCAAACTTCCCACTGGCCGATCATTTGTCATTCGAACAGCGTAGATTATCCGTCGGGGGTCAACTTCAACCTCCATCGCTGGTCATGGCGACACGGCCTGATTTATAGTAACCGTGTTTTAGCATTTGGAAATAATGAAAGTCAGGGGTCATAAAAGTGGGACAAGCTTGAGGTCAAGACATCATTCACCAATGACTAACAAACACGTAATAAATTTCCAGTGTTATTTCAATTACAAATATTCATTAAGAAATGTTTTTGACAGAAATAACATATTTCAAGAGCCTTCCTTAGCATTCAAATAGGAGTTACGCCAAAAATCATTTTCATCCATCTCGGGTACCCTATCCGGAATCGAACTAAGGACCGACGGTCATAGTAAGTAGACGAGAAAGCCTACTTAAAATCTACTTAACATATTAAAGTTACGAGGTGCGATCGAAAGGTTTCCAGACTGCGCGTATAACAACCCGTACACTTATCTCAGGTATTACATTCATCCATCACCCTCGAAGTAGTTCCCCTGGGAGTGAACACAACGATCCCAGCGCCGCTGCCAAGCCTGGAAGCATCCCTGGAAATCTTTCTTTGTCAGCCTGTCAAGCACCATCTGCGATTCTGCCTGAATCTCTTCTATCGTCTCAAATCTCCTTCCCTTTAGCTGAATTTTCATCTTTGGGAAGAGGAAGAAGTCACACGGAGCTTAGAAAGGAAGTTGGGGTCGGTTCTTGCAAGATCTTTGAGCTCCTGACAAACGAGAAGTCGATTCTGCTTCTGGTCCTCAGACAGGATGCGTCGCCTGTGGAGTTCTTCCTTTAGAATCAGCTGACATGTCCCATAGCCTATCCCAACAATGTCGACCAAGTCGTTGATGGTACGACGTCGATCTTCGTAACATTTTCGGGCGTTGTGCTCGAAGATGGTCGTCCAGAACGCTCGTCATCATCGCCAGAGGTTCGGCCATTTTTAAAACGTGAATGCCCCACAAAAGTTTGTGCACGACCCATTGCGGACTCCCCAAATGCTTGCTTTAGCATTTCATAGGTTTCCGTAGCCGTTTTGGCGAGTCTTTGGCAAGAGATTCAGGCAGAATCGCAGATGGTGCTTGACAGGCTGACAAAGAAAGATTTCCAGGGATGCTTCCAGGCTTGGCAGCGGCGCTGGGGTCGTTGTGTTCACTCCCAGGAGAACTACTTCGAGGGTGATGGATGAATTTAATACCTGAGATAAGTGTACGGGTTTTTATACGCGCAGTCTGGAAACGTTCCGATCGCACCTCGTAATATTAGAAACTTCTCTTACTCTCTTTACAACCAGATCCGATACAGTAAGGTCTAGCTTCAGTGATTTCGTAATTTTCAGACAGACAGAAGGAGACCTCACAAAGTCAGTCCTTTCTTGTAGGGTTTCCTTGTTCTCACAGATTTACGAAAGAACTCGGCCATTCGCTCGATCCAAGCCCCACTGGTTTCCTTTTAAAGGGGCCGGCGGATTAGAAACTGCGCTAAAACACTCGGCATGAATTCTATTATCGTTAATAGTTCCAATAGTAGGAGTATTTTCAACAACTAAAGTCAGAATATTAACGGAGACACAAATATCAATGACGTTTAAAGTTTTCGAGAAAATACTGATAAGACAGGAATTTTAAAACCACTTTATTGATATATAAAATCGTGCAAATAAAAAAAACTATTTACACTTTGAAAAAGACACTTAGTAATTAAATATGAATTATTATTTGCCACTGATGATGACATCTTGAGGTCGAAACGCGTTTGGCACTAAGTGTCTTTTCAAAGTGTAAACAATTTTGTTTGTATGCATGAGTTTATGTAACTAAAGAATTGTTAAAATATTTATCATCTTACAAGTGTTTATTTTTACATTTAACACTGTTATCAAAATTCATATTAAACAATTTTTGACGTAAATCACTAAATTGTCGTTA